TTTATGATTTGTTTTTTCTAATTTTCACCCAAACCATTTGTAATATAATTTGGGTTTTTTTTATAATTTCCACCCAAGTTAATTTTAATATAATTTTTTTTTTAAATTTCACCCATGTCAATTTTTAATTTAATGGAAATTAAAATTGACGTGGGTCAAAATTATAAAAAACATATTATATTAAAATTATAAAAAATAAATAAATTATATTAATGTGTGAATATTAAAAAAAAATAAATGATGTTATTTTTCATGTCCCTTATCAGCCACCGTATTTATCTGAGAAGCAATACATTTCTTGCTCCAATATTTTAGAAATAAAACTTAAGTTAGAGAAGGCCTGTAATCTTTAAAAACATTAGGATGCCGTGTAGACTTTTTAATCAAAGGGGTAAGATAAGCTTGTTTGAAAACGTTGGGAATAGTGGAAGATGATATAAAAGAATTAATAATATTGGTAAAAACTGGAATAACTTCGTCTAGACAATCCTTAAGAACAGAATCTAATGAACAAGATTTAGGAGCAGACGATTTAATTAGTTTTTAAAAAAAACATCTGAGAATAGGTTTAATCAATTAGCACTAACTGACGTCCGGTAATACAACCCTAGATATTGTAATAATTCCACAATATTTGCTTACATATTTAACAAAACAAATCCTTGAGTCTTTAACTAAGACGTTCGACAAATTGCATAGCTCTGTTAATCTGGCTGAAGTATTTCATTTGACGCCGAATGTCTGAAATAAAATAAAATTTGAAAAGAGTAATCTTCTCCGATAAGTCTAATCACTTAACGAAATTAAAAATTTGAGAATTTGATAAAACTTTATATCAATAATATCTACCCGATCTCTGGAACGAAAACAAAAATTGTATGGGCTGGGCTGGGTCTGATGAGTGAATGGACAAATTCGTCTTAAGTGACAAAATCCCCAAGAAAATAAGGAGTTGTCAGTACCAAATGAGGTTTAACGTAGTACGTTTCTGCACCGACTGGGCTAATGAGGAACAATTTGCCCGGGCAATGGCGCTACCACCTTCTCTTATATCGAATTCCAACTGCCAAGGGATCTTTTACGTGCCCGCAAATCTGTTCACCTGACCTCCGCTTTTCGTCCAATCCGAACTACTGACAGAATGACAAGGGGAAATCACGCCGGAAAATCCAGAGGAATTTTCTCGGCCAACACCGGGAACGAACCCGAGACCTCCAGACTAGCGAAGCCAGCGTCTTACTCACTGACCCACCGCGGCTCCATTTGTGAGTATCATACCTTTAAGATGTTTCGTCTGGTGTTTAGCGTGGCCCACTACAACCCCTTTTCAACTCATGGAGACTATTAGTTTGATAATTTAATTGAATTAAAAGTAATATTGCTCGCATCATCAATCTAAATAACATTAGACCCTAGATATTTGGTATCGCTAGGTCTATTGTATCCATGTTTTAAGGCTTTAGTTTTAATTAGATTGTCCACGAACATTAACACCGATTCGTCATTATCTGGATTAATGTTTCTTTAATCGCATATATACGGTGGCTGGGAAAGGACATCCAGTGATTTTATTTTTCCCAAATTATCGCGATCGACTGGCCCCCCGGATCCATTCACTTGATTTGATATTTGTTTATTTGGTGCAATATCTATTTTCTATCTTGTCCACAGGTTTATCTTGTAGATTTTTGTTTTGCGTGAAGTGGGGTCCTCCTGCACTTACTATTAGTATTTCGATCGATCGACTTAGTATCTCGATCGATCGACTTAATTATCTCGACCGATCGACTTAAATATCTTGACTGATCGACTTAATTATCTCGACCGATCACCTTAATTATCTCGATCGATCGACTTATTATTATCATTATTATTATTATTATTATTATTATTTCATGTTTAAAGCGCTACATTATAGTTATTTCGAAGCACTGTACAGTCATATTTACACAATGGTACGCCCATGATTCTATTTATATGAGTCACTAAACAGATGAGTCTTCAGTTTAGATTTAAACTGTGATAGTTGGGTACACTCTCTGATGACTGTGGGTAGTTCATTCCAATGTTTGGCACCCCTAATGGAAAATGAAAACTCGTCCACCTGACGCCGAAAGTGGATAACAGCTAGTATAGGGTTTTGTCACGTCCTGAACGAAGATTAGTTCGGCCAGTGGTGTAAACATTAAACATTTCCACCATATAATTAGGAGCTGTTTTGGTTATTACTGATTTATAAGTGTTGACGAGAATTTTAAATTTTATCCTGGCTTATACCGGTAGCCAGTGTAGCTGCTTCATATGTAATGAGATGAGATCATATTCTGAGGTTCCTGTGACAAGACGCGCGGCGTCGTTTTGAGCGATTTGAGGTATATCAAGAGCTACTTCTGAGCTCCAGGTAAAAGTGAATTGGCATAGATGTTCATTCGTTAGATATCCAAGATTTTTAATTTTAGATTTTGGGAGGACATCACAGTTTCTAACCCGGATTGCATCAGCTTTTATTGAATTACGTACTTGCGCCTTAGTTGACATTATCAGAAATTCAGATTTATCATCGTCTAATTTTTGTTTGTTGTTCATCATCCATTTACAAATGTCCACAAGACAATTTCCCAGCTTCCTTAGGTATAATATCATAGAATCGTGGTCACCAAGAGCAAAAAAAAGGCGTATAGCTGGTCGAGTAGCAAGATATGGATGAGAAAAAGGTTTGGAAACTAATCTGTCGCATTGAATTTTCTGTCATCTGTTAGGAAGGTACGATTTGATCCATTGGAATGCAGCAGCGCCTACCCCAGTAACAGAGATTATCCCTTGCTTGGGCACTGGCGGCCTAGGTGTCCGGAATCTTTTTGGGTTGATTGTTTGATTTCGATACCCTTAAAGGAGCTAAGTCTCTAACTCAATATTTTCCATAATATACGAAATTAAAACCACGAATTAGAATTCAATATTGATCCATTTCAATCAATATTAATGTTGTTATCTTGCCGTGAAAGTACAGGATCCTAATATCCAATGTTTAAGACACAATTAACATTTTATAATCAGTACACGAGTCGTATACCCTATGGTTTCGGGTGCCATTTTGTAATGAACAAATAGAAACAAACGACAAAATAATAATTTAAAAAACGTGTAGAATGAACTAAGCAGGTGTAAACGACTGCCATTCAATTTGAACTGTTCAAATATTTCACCGAATATAATTTGATTAGAAATTACAATATTTTTTTCAAAATTGAATATAAATCACTTTACATACATTCATATTAAATTAATATGTGCGTTTAGAACCATTTTCGTCTATTTCAAGGTTTCAGAAAATAGAGCCATACGCCGTTTAAATTAGACCCCAATAGCACCAAAACAGTTTAATGTTGATTAACAGGCTGTCCAATAATCATCAAAATAATAAATTAAAATGGGTCCTGTCTTTAAGGTTCAGCCACAATACTACAACAATGACGTTCATGCCTGGATAGTTTAAGTTTGGTTTACTGCGTTTGTATGGCAGCGGAAAGAATCCTCATACACACCAGCTTCATACTCAACGCGACAGTCCGATACAAGAAGGTTGTTGAAATCCATTTCTACTAAGAAAACTTTCTGTTGTAATTGTTCATGCCCCAATTCTCTGAAACCGTTGCTACTATGTCTACGTACCTTGGCCACACGAGATTCGGATTAGTTACGGATACTAAATGTAATTTGCAGTTAAAAGTAACTAGTTACACTTAGCAACAGTTGGAGGTGAGGTGGACAAGGAAGAGTATCGCCACCCGAGCCCGAGATTGTAGTGGATGTATTAAGTCGTCACCCATGCCGTCGGTCCGACCGTAAATAATTGACTCGTTGATGTGAAGCACTCCGCGACCTGGTCCGAAATCCTGTTATCACAATTAAGGGTGCAGTTTTTAACGAATTTTTTTAGTTGGGGTCAAGAGAAGGCAAACGATTTGAAAAAGTTGTCCGCGTCCCGCGACCTTCAGTTACAGAGTTACCCCTTTTGTCGGAAAATCCTGATAATGCCATTAGAGGCGTCAGTTTTTAAGGCATTTTTTCTAAGTTTGTGGGAAGCAGAGGGGTCACTAGAGAACGAATTCTATCAAATTTCAGCATTCCACAACCTTCCGCTCTGGAGTTTTTCCCACACATTGCACGAAAACCTTTTTAACGCGGTCGAAGCTACAATTTATTCTTAACAGTGTATATTGTTTTTTCCAATTTGATGTGAACTATTTGTGTTATGAAAGTACAAACCTTCGATTCCGGGGTTAACTCCTTTTTTTCGTGGCGTGTCTATCTTTAAATTAATCAATATTTCTCATGTGTACCCCAGGCCTCCACCTGAGTACTTGGCGGTCTTGTTTCATAATTTTGTCTTCATTATGCCCCGGTCAGACTGGGGTGGCGTTCTTACTGCGCTGCTGCGACAGTAAAGCGACCAGAAAATGCACAAGGTCGCCATCAAACGTGAACACAATGCGAAAAAATGTCCCAGGTCAGATCGTAGAACCTTGGCGTTTGTTTTGAACATGCTCGAAACAAACGCCGTGACTCGGCGATTATTGGCGACCATGGAGACCACAGCACGATATCTGGCGTTTCCAAAATGCTTTTACCACGCTTATGTCGATCTGCGACCATTTTCCGTCGCCGAAGAGTCGCAGTAATGTCGCCACCATCTTCTGACGGGGATATTACTAAAGACAGTGTTAAGCGTCCGTGGCTTTACGCGGTATTTGATTTGCCTATTGTAGTACATTCAGAATTGATGCGCGCGGACAAGTTAATTTAGAAATGCAATATTTATTTAGTAATGGGTAGGGTACACGAGGCAGATACCACGTCTCATTAATTATGTTCGTATAGCTCACAGGCTTTTTTTGTGTAATCTTTCTTCTGTTTAGAAGGTTTGGTGCTTGATGCTTTCCACTTCTCTAGAATAAACGTGACATCAGATTTTAAAAAATATATTTTATTGTGTCCCTTTCCATTTATTTTAATCATGATCATAAACAATAATATAATATCATATACAATATATTAGCATACTATAAAGCTTTACATATAAATATCGGAAGCTATTTCTTCAGCTTTTGTTATATATTGCCAACGATTATTCCACGAACATAGTACAGCAAAATGATCTACGGATAAAGTCAAGCATATAATAACATGTACAATAAATTAGCATACTATAAAGCTTTACATAATATAAATATCAGAACCTATTATTTCACCCGCTTTTGTTATTTATATTGCTAACGGTTAGTCCACGACCAAAGTAAAGCAAGGTGATGTACGGATAAAGTCAAGCATGGCGATATTCAGTCTAATCAAACATAAATGTTAAAGAGGCATTATGTAAGATTTAGGTTATAAAAGTTCGGCTATAAAAGTTCAAAAATAAATAATGAATAAAGAATTTATTGAAATTGTTTGAAGTATTGACAAGAAGTGGCCTAAATTGTGTCTGACGATTGCCGATTCATATCCTTTATTATCAGGTCAGGTACCAATTTTCAGTCTTTCAATCAACCGTCACCGCGAGTGCCGCCATATTATCAGTTAACGTATATATGGCGGGCATTGTCTAATCCGCTCAATATTTAAGACATCCGATGGTCTCCGGGGTTGATTGTGGGCTTTTCATGTGAATAAATATATAAATGACAATTTATATGACAATTGAAGCCCGAAAAAAGACCTGCAATGGACAGATTTAGCTCTTGCATAATGCCTCTTTGATTTCATTGCGTAGTTACTCCAATGGGAACCTAAGGTGTATTTCAAAATATAACGTTTTGGGTTAATTGCTACAAAGCTAGAAAGTCTGTTCTTTTTGAACGAGGTATATTGCAAGGGAAAAAATGTCAATGTAATTTTAGACTGGGCGATATATTGCACATTTATTACCACAAAACGAAGACTTTTGGGGCTTCTTTCTTTGTTTTTGTTTGGGGGGAGGAATATCAAATTCCGTCTTGAAAAATGTTATAGAGCTGGTTATACCGAGCGAGTTGCTGTCGCTGACGTCTTTCATCTGCAATTGAATAAAATGTTTTATAATAATACATCATGTACATGTTCAGTAATACATCCTCACACAATATACTATAGAATGTCAGAGATCACAAGACCACATACAATTAAACGTACCCCAACCAAAAACATTGGCACATCAGCCTAAAAACATTATCTAACCTACAATGTGCTTTTAGAAATTGGAATCAGACCAGTTATTTGATAATCTCGCTTATGAACATGGACGTAACAGACTTTAGACATATACTTAGTCATAGTTTGATGCTATTTTCCACGTTACAGGCGCCTGTGGCCTCATTTGCTGAATGGACATCTGCTCTCATTTCCAATGAAGTACATGTATGCTAGAATCTGTATGGTTGGGTTCAGTGCCTGTACTCGACGCCCCTATATGCTCTTAACATGCTCAATCGAATTGAGGTTAGGACTCATTGTAGGCCAAGACAGGATCGTCACAGCGTTATTTTGGAGAAACGCTGCCATCCGGGTACGTGGCGGGTTTACCCGCTATTAATGATGTGTGTCGTCAATGTCATCTATACTTATTGTGGTGTATTTGGCCCAAATACGGTATCTTGGAATTCTTTTCGGGGTCATAATTATAAGACAAGTATTTTTGAAAACTACAGGGGATGCATAACTTTTTTGTTTGTGTATAGACTCTGAAATTTAAAACATAAGCTTCAATATAAAAAAAAGAGATTGACAGAAGGAAATAAATTTTATTCTTAAAATGTACATTAAAAATAAAAATATATTAAATATAGTAAGTTACAAATAAACTAGTTGCAGACAACAAACACTATTGTGTTATGCATAGCTATATTATATTTCCTACATGGAAACAAACCCTTCTACCATTACTTTATACATATCCCCTTCTCAAATCAAACCTCAAGCTTTTAATTTATAATGCTTCTAACGACCAGCATTTTTGTCAAATATTAATGTGAAAGCCATTCGAATACAGATGTTGCGTTAGTGCTAGCATGTGTGTGCACATGTCAAAGTGCAGTAAACAGCACGCTCTAATGTCTGGAAGCAAAGGTTAGATGCTTTAAAAAAAAGCACACAATAGGTGGATATTTTAAAAAGTTATCTGAAATTGGAATCACTCCTACTTGAAAGCCATTAATTATGACAATACAATTTGTTTTCTCTGTTGTTTATAAAAATTATTCCACATATAGTAGAAGCGTTACAGAAGTTATCTCGGCTAGTCATAGCTATCGCGGTAACGCTTACAATACCCCCACCCTCTCCCATCACCCCGCTTAGATTCAATCCAGAATAACAATCCACAGTGTTAACAGTGTTAATCTTTGATGTCAAATATGTCAGTTACAGTCTTCGATTCACTAGCACATCTGAAACTAATTTATCACACATGGCGTTACTGAAAGTCTTAAACAACTATTTAAAAAGAGGATCGTCGGATTAAAGTCTGTTTATTAAATTTGTAAGTGTTGAGCTTGGTCTGTCAAGGAATATGAAATATCAATTCCTCCTTTAGAAACACACGATTCAAATCACACGAAGTTTTCTAATTAAACTGTTCCATCTGGCGATTAAATAAGGCCATTTGTCTTTGGGCTTTCTTGATATCTGAAATTCGAAGAATTCATAAAAATGAGTCGTAATGGTCGTTCATTTTTTTTTTTTTTTGTTTCTTTGCTTTACCTTTATATTGACTGTACAATTCTTGGAACCAGTGATTGCCAATCAATGTGACGATTTTGGGGTTGGTTGAAAATACTTTAATATAGAATGCCCAGTGGGATTTTACAAGCAGAGCCAGAAACCATCCGTAGCATACACAGTTACTCTGCCCGATCTTCTTAGATACTGGGCATTTCGAGGGGTAACTCTGTCCAACCTCCAACGATGCTGGGCATCATTAATGTTTAAATGTTAGTCAACTATGGTTAATATACGAATAATTTAAAACTAATAATTACTATCTACAATTAGTGCAAGACAAATAATGTTATATTAAGTTTTGGTGAAGTCAGAATGTACTTCATGAAATAACAACAAATTTACATACACGAAACAAACCATCAACACATTTGTTTCGTCACTTCCGTGATGGATATCTCATTACTTCTTTGTCCAAATTCCATTAAACAATTTTATTTCCAAACAAATCCTTGACAGAGATCAACGGATAGGAGAATTTATCGACCATTCAAATTGGTTGTATTTCAAAAGCAATTTGTAAGACGTCACGGTAGAATTTTAAAATCATTCTAGCTGTGTCAATGAATGCTCCGATTAGTTTACCAATATGGCTGGATATCTTTTTTTTAAATAAAAAGGTTCAACTCATGATATACCTCTTAAAGATGCATTATGTAAAAACACATAACTAAATAACCTGAATTAGATAAAGACCTCGTCCTTCTTGCTATAATAGTTTAAAAAAACAGATAATGTGAAAAGAATATATTATTGAAAATTTCAGTCTAATTAATTAAAGTGTTTACAATATACTTTCGATTGTCAAGTATCGTTGTTACGATTATCCACTTTTAAATTAAATTATTGAATGGTGATCTTGTTTCAATCCATTGAATGTCGCTTTCATTCGGTGGCCTAAAGAGTTGATAATGGGCGTGTCGTGTGAATAAATGTATATTTGAGACTGAAATCAAAAAGTTGGGTCTTTAACAAAGGGTATTTGGAGAATATAATAATTAATAATATTAACCAGCAATACCTACCTGAAGTGCATCAAACCGGATGAATTTAACAAAACAGCCACATCTGAGACAATGAACGCCATTAAATCTGCGCGCAATTCACCAGGATAACCGTGATGAAACATTAATTTTCAAACAAAACAGAAATGAAATATAATGAAATGGGGTTTAACGTCCTACTTTTCTGTGCCAACTGGGCTAATGAAGACGGGCATACGCCATGCAATGTGCTTTGTGTGGAATTTAGCCCTGACAGCGGCCCTACGGCCTACTCTTACTTTGAATTCCATCTGTCAGTGGTTCTTTTACGTGAACGACTAGACACTGTTCCTTGTTAGACCCTTCGTCCTGTACCACTGACAAGGGGAAACCACGTCGGAAAACCCGAGGAACTTTCTGGCCATACGCTGGGAGCGAACCCGAGAACTCCTGATTAGCAAGTCATTGCCTTACTCACCGAGCCAGCGCTGCACCCCGAACAAAACAGACAAATGAAGAACACAACTCATATTACATTTGGCGGGTGATTAATAATGAATATAACTAGCAGGGAATGGACGTGTCAACATTATAACATATATATAAATCATTATCAGTGCTGGATTTAGGTGAGGAGATGCCCTAGGCTATACCACGTATGCCTCCTAATCCCCTTAACCCAATCACACTAAGCCGAGGATAATAACAGCATGTAAAAAGGGCGTATGACGGTGCCAAAATTGTTAAACATCTTCAGCCTGCGACGTCTGATACTGATCATTATGTTAAACTGTAGAGCAATAGTATTAACAGCAAAGCAATTAGTATTAATCCTTGAGTGGCATTTAATGATAGTGTTCACTTATCCTAATCAGTAAGAGGGCACTGTCTTGTTGAAACGTCGTCCTAAATGAACACTTCTCGAAACGCCATGCTATATGTTTATAAAGCAATGATTGTTTTCCATATAGAGTGTGTTAGGTTCTTTAAGTATGCTAAGTTATATATTATTGAAGCGATTAAAATTAATGTATATGATCTATTTTTTTATATCTACTGTATACAACCTAGATTCTACAATCGGACACCACGATATAAAAGATGTGTAAATTATGTACACACTGTTCATAACCTATTATTATTGCACAATATTTTAAATATTTGAATGATTTGCAAAATAAATTACTGAATAAATAGAAAAGTACAACAATATATTTTTAGTCATGTGCAATGGTATCAGGTCTAGTATGAGTAACTATATCCTGCCTGGTGTACGACTGTAACCCATCACAATTGGAACAATGGTTTGAACTTGGATTTTAGACATCGAAGCAACTGGGTTAAAGATTACTTCGGTACCCCTAGCTACAAACGGTGTCACTTCTAGCCAAGTGGTTTAAATACAAAGGTAAAACAAATGTTAGCCAGTTGTGTATAATTGGAATAAGAAATACTCTGCCTCGAGAACCATACCCATCAATACTTAATGTCAACTGCAGCAATGGTTTGGACGTGGATTTCAGAAAGAATAACACCTTTGAACATTCCAACAAAAAAGTATTGCAGTCTAACGCGAAGAGCTATGTGTATACTAGATTCTTTCCAGATTATACCTTAAAGACTCCATATAAAATTTATCCTTCTGCCTGTGTCTATTTGGTAAATTTAAATTTGGTTCTACAAACGTATAACACGTAGTAACGGCTTAAGTTGACACGCATTGAATGCAATGGAGTTAAACGTCACAACGTGTGCTGTGGGGGAAATTTTGCCAGGACAGAATTGGATTTTAACTGTCAAGGGCTTTTTCACGTGTAAATGGAACCTGGTTTTTTTTGGTTTTTTTGTTTGGTTTTTTTTTTTTTCTTTTTTTTTTTGGGGGGGGGGGGGTCGTGCGATCCGAACAACTAGACGCTGTTCCTTTCTAATAGAGCAACTTACGGTATTGTATTGCGATGTAATCCAAGTTTTTGATTATTGGTGATTCAGCTTTGTACCATCTCCGTCTTGTTTTATCTGGATCAGGTGTCACGTAAGCTCTACAAAAATAATATATATCAAGGCATTAATATGTGTGATCGGGGGTGGGGGTGGGGGGGTGTGGCCGAATGGTTAGCACGTGCGCGCTGTGCTGTATCATACGATCTGTCATTGAGTCAACTGGCGGGGTTTCGATTCCCCGGTTGTACGTGACAAAGGGTAGGGTCGCCTGTCCAACCTCGTGGGTTTTCTCCGGGTCCTCCGGTTTCCCCCCACTGCTAAAGACCCCTACGCGCAAGCGAATTATTGAAATAAAATTGAACCATGTGTTAGTCCCGCTATGACCTAGTTTGTGTCGACTGGACGTTAAACCCCATTTCTAAAAAAAAAAAAAATACGTGTGACCCCTTGAACACTCGGCAAACCTCGGCAGATTCCGTTATTCTACATCTAGCCTCGGCTGTATGACGGTAAGTGATATGTACCTACGTCTATACAATTGCGATGCGGCACGGGTTTACTTATTAGGAAAACTTGCCGCTTTAAAATAAAGTTTTCAAAATTGCGTCGTTCGAAGCGTGTGTAGAATTTTTAGTGCAAAGTGCCAAAGTTGTCCTTGTTTGAAGAAAATCTGATAAACTTGAAAGAAAAACAGCTTCAGACTTCGAAATATTTGTATGATAAAACATTCTTCAAAGGCGTCGTCATGGGCAACGCCGTTTGTAATCCTGGAACTTGAAAGTAGTTCCAATGGCGGACTTCGTCATACAGCCGAGGCTGGAATCTGCTGAGGTTTGCCAAGTGACCGCTTGAAGTACAATTACTATTCTAGAACTGCATACATTCGGAAGTGACAAAATAGGGGAAGTTTGTTCTGTTGTGTCTGATAATGATTTTACTCAAATCGTTTTATTTAAGAGCCATAATATTTTTAAAAGATGCATTATTATTAGATCCCAATCTGCATATTGCAGATCTCTCTTTTTCCTGGCTTCAAATGTTATATAAATTTTTATTTAGATATTACTTCACGTGCTAAATCAATAATCAACTCTCTAGACAATCAGATGGCTAAGATATTAGGTGGATTAGACAATGTCTGACATATATTAGTTTAACGTTAAAATTGAAAACTGAGACTACGTTTGTTAGAGTAGCAATTGTACTTGAAAATCGAGAATATTCATGCTAATTTTGTCAAAACTTTAAACACTTATAACTTCCCTCAGAATAAGGTAATTCAACTAAAATTTTCCATTTTTAAACTATTACAGCCAGAACGGTGAGCTGTTTATCGAAATCTAATACAACACATCTTTAATAAATATTTCAATCTTTAATCGTTATTCACGCCCATTTCTCAAAGTGAATATGTTGAACTGTTCCTGATATGGTTATAGTGTTGATAAATCTGAGCATAAATGTCATTACAACTCACTTTGTCTGAAATCACGAAATTTATATACAATTTTATTCTGTTCTAAGATTTAACTTACACGAATTTGACATGCCGTCTTTGTTTTAAGTCGTATGCAGAAGTAGGCGGATACCAGTTACCCGTGATGTTAAACTTCAACTCATGGTCGTTAAAAGCAACTATGGCATCGTTACCCCAAAAACTGTATGGACATGATATCGTTTCTGACACCACAGTATATTCTGATGGTTGTTTACCCAACCAATAGCCGATTGTTTTAACATCCAGGGCCATACCAGGTGACTGAATATCCGTTTCGGGTACATGTAGAAATACGTCAGCTATTATAGGTCTCTTTTCACTTATAGTTTGGTAAACTTCAACTGTAATAATAGAACACAAACTGATTAATCAAATAATTATTATTTTGTGGTCAGGTATATTTTTATGATAATGGTTGAATCGAGTTATGGGACCCGGGACTTGTCCCCAGTGCTTACCAATATTGTTGTTTCCCTTGTTCTTCCCTTCAAGGCTCTGGCAATTCAAATACGCTTGACATAAAACTTGACATGCTTGTGCCTTGGACAATTGCGCATCGAACTTTTGATATGACGCCGCAATTCCAAGACGGCTGATATGACGTCATGCTCGGTTTCCAGTTCCGATCATACTTGATTACGAAACTCGCCAATCTAAATACAAAATAGCACATTGATTTAAATCGTACAATAATTTCTAAAAGTTCGCAAAGGGGAATAACTATTCATATATTCGATGCGTCGCCCGAAATCCATGTAATTGTGTCATGTGTTAATCATATGCCGGATGAAGAAGACAAAAGGCTACATATTCAACGAATATTTTAAACATATCACTTTTGGGAAACGTATTCAGACATTCTGAAAATTAATCGTAATGAATCTTATATATCCCGGATAATATTTCATTTAAGTGACAGCAAGTTCCTTTTGTTCTTTCATATTTGATTGACGTGAATCATTGACTAATCAACATGACTGATTACATGTCACAGTAACATGACAACATGAATAATGGTCTTTTAAGTATTAAAGCAAATAGTTCTTTCGCTTTGATTTGAAAAAATCATTAAACTTTCCATAGGGGTAAATAGTGTAAAACATCCGGTATGTTAAAAATGTTTTACAAATCTTGTTACAAGGTCTAACAACGTATAAATCGTTTTGCCAAGGGTTCTTTTCCAGGTACGTCAACCTGTACGCCTACACGGGACCTCGGTTTTCCTTTTCATCCTAACTACTATACGATGTACCTTGGAAATCAGGCCCTCTGCCTTTCACTATTGACCAAGCTAGAAAATCCCTGGGAATTTTCACGGACAACACCGAGATCGAACACAGGATGTCATGAGCGATCGAGGCTTCTCTACACAATAATTATTATGATATTTAGAGTGACAACAAGGTCACATAAAACTGACTCAAATTATAAACGTTCTAACTCCTCCACACACCTACACCCTACCCGAACGTTTTCCACAAATGCACAATTTAATTTGAAAATATTTTTTTTTGTACGAATCCATTAAAGATTCAAGGGGTGATCACTCTGTCTTCAGCTTAACCAAAACTTCGCAGAGGCTCTATGTAGTAGCGCATGTTTTACTTAAATAATGACGGGAAGACGGTAATGCGTAATGTACCAATCTCGAGTGTATATTTTGCTATGAAAGATGACAAGAATATTTAATGATATGATCCTATCTCTACTTGAACTAGTAAATATGAAGGTTAATGTCATTTATTTTATACAAACAAAATAGTTATTTTCAGCATTGTCTTGATGGACGTAGTGTGTGACTTTTAATGACATATATTATCCTAATAGGAATAAATAGAAACTACCTTTATTTCACTTTGTCTGCCTAATTTATTTGTTTATTTTTTAGGTCGCCATTTATATTATAATATGTTAACATATTTTAAACACACATCAACGGAACTAACCAAAATATCATAATGAACCAGAAAATTAATCGTCAAACTAATAAATTACAAAGGAAAAATCTAGTTTTGTTAATAAAAGAAATGGAGACTAACAAAACAAAATTGTGATATTGTCGTCAGAAATCTGCACCGCCATACTGTATATTTTATGTATATCATTCTATGTCCACGATCATATGTCCACGATCATATAGTATTTTATGTACATGTATATTCTATCTGCACCGCCATACTGTATATTCTATCTCGGATAGTATAATGTTTTCAATTTATATAACTGCATATAACCGAAAAACAGAATCATTATGAAAGGGGAGTTAACCACCCCCTTTCAAAATTCTAAAAGGATTCAATTATTGGGGAATACTTTACCCTGTGACGATGATTTATACTATAAGAAGCCCATGACTCATTTAAAGTCAGATTTGCTACGAATATCCTTAGAATAAGATATATGTGGTGTCATAGCTCTTTAACGCTGGATTTTTAGGGGTTTTTTTTCTTTTTAAGTCGTTCAGATCAAAATCAGATTAAAAGTTTCTTAACGTGTGAGATTTTATCTTGGGACTTTGTTCCGCTTTCGGCTATCTCGGAAGTGGGTCTACTTCACCACCATGGAAGCATCCGTTAATCTCCATCCAACAAGCAAACAGTGTATTAACGTATGTCTGTCTTTTTAAACAATTCCCTTATATTTCTCACTTCTCTGATTGACCGTATGATAATTACGTCCGCAGCTCGTTTTCTTTCTTTTCTTAATTCGTACTCGACCTTCCATGTGAACCCACCGCCACTAACAGACAACCGTGGGTAACGCCCAGCTCGTCATTGAATGCATGTATATAAATTCGAGTGTATGATTAATTTTTTCACCATTTTATCGAAAACCTGCATTATTTGTCGAGAATGTCATTCCGAAATTATTCAAAATGGCGTCACTTACCCTATTCAAAAGCCGAGGCAATTATTACATCGCGCCTATATTGTCAAACTAAACATAAATAGGTAATGGTTAATAAAAACTGTTTGTACAAAGTGAATTTATAACAAAACAATAAACCCGGCCAATAAATGTATATAATAAATTAGTTTATGATCTATTTGACAGTAGTATAAATGTATGTTGAGCTACATAACAAATGTATGTGTTGGCATAAATTGTAGGCTACTTATGTCAAAGAAAATGAAGCTACACAACAAAAGTTAACTCTGGCCCACGTGATAAATGGTTGTATGTTATTTTCTGACGCATATGTGACATAATGTCAGATTATGGCTATTTTAGTAGCTTAGATTGCATGGTGTTACAGCTTGTAAATCATTACCAAGTTGATTATTATTGCTGTACGGACGTTAAGTAATTTCTATATCATTCTTTCAAACTGTTGGGGTGGTGGTAGTGGGTGTGTGTGTGGGGGGGGGGGGGCATTGTATCATAAGGTCTGTCACTGAGTCAACTGGAGTTGTTTTGATTCCTCGGTTGTACGTGACAAGGAGTAGGATCGCCTGTCCAACATCATGGGTTTTCTCCGGGTCCGCCCACTGCTAAAAACCCCTACGCGCAAGCGAATTACTGACATAAAATTATTGAACCATATGTTAGTCCCGAAATGATCTAGTTTGTGTTGAATGGAAGTTAAACCCCATTTCTCTTCTTTCAAACTAACTAAAATGACTGCACCGCCGCTAAATGGGATTTAACGTCCTACTAATCTACAATAATCGGGTTATTGTGCTATGAGAAAAATATTGCCTGTGTGGCGGTATTATCCCATACTCTTCGTTGAATTCCAACTTCCAACGGTTCTTTTTAGATGGTGTGCCTTCCAACCTGCACCAACAATAAGGGGAACTATACTGACGTCCAAAAGAAAGTATACACACTAAAAGTATGACTAAGTTTTGTTTAGATTAAAAACATTTGATAAAGCATTACTGAGTTTGTCTCTTGCGTCCAAACTCAACATTTCTAAGCAAAATAAAAATGTGAAACAAATTGACATTCTACCCTAATACCGTATATCATGGAAAAACGACTTTGGTTGATGCAGCACAAAATGCACAGTGTATACTTTCTTTTGGGCGTTAGTATAAACTGGAAAATCCCACATATAGGGTGAATGTAACCAATTCATAATCAATTTCTGAATCAAAGATGAACACAATTTCTAAACGTTCCTACAAAAACGTTTGCCAGTCAAAGATACTAAAAATAAGCGCCTCGCCGTCTTTTAAATAGCTATTACTCAATTATGTCGACGCCAGCAACGTCAAAATAATGTCCAAAGGTGATTAAATGTTAAAGATACATTAGTTAAGAGTTTTATAAAGAGTTGGTCATTTTTGCTATAATAATTCGAAAATAAATGATAAAAAAAGAAAATATTGAAAATTTCAGCCAAATTACTTCATTCTGAGTTAAATTATCACTGTTTATTGTTTTGACAAGATGTGTGCATAGTGGTAACTAGCGCGCTGGTATATTCGCGACTTAGCCTCGCTTTCCCATTTTTAAATTAAATTTTTAAATGGCGAACCGTTCTAATCTAGTTAAAATCGCGAGTATCCGATGTCATCGAGGGTTGATTATGGTCTTGTTTTGTTAATAAATGTCTAATTAAAAGTTTAAATAACATTTCAGGCCTAAAGAAAGATCTGCAATAGGCAGCTTTACCTCTTGCATAATGTTTCTTTAAGAATATTGAATATGTATCTATAGCTTGAGGATTTGTTTTTAACATATGAAAAACTTTGTTTATAATATGGTTCTAAGCTTGAATTTCGACAGGCCTTTGCCCATAGAGAATCAGAGTAATCCCGTGGGGGGGGGGGGGGGGTAAACATGCGTTCCCCTATGGTAATGGCTGACATCAGGAATGTAAGAAAAATATGCGATACTATATTAAAAGACAGATACCAAGTTGTTTATGAGACAGCGTCGACCATTTATTTGTCAACAAAAGAAAGATTACTTCAATTAATTAGAAGTTGACATCATTTTTTCAGCATCCCATATACCGGCTAAGAGTTACAACGACTTTCTGATTGAATCTAAGGAGAACAGCACCACACACAACCAAATATAAACTAAGACGACAAACAAGACATAATATACACGATGCGTACACTATAGGTAATAAATATAGAGGGTACCATAAAATCAATTTATTAAAATGTATACATATACATTATAAAAGATTTAGATAAAGAGCTAATCGTTCTCGCTGTAATAGTTTAAAAATAGTGAATGGAAAATAAATATATTGAACATTTCAGTCAAATTACTGAAGTTTTAAGTTTTGACAAGAAATGGCGGATTGTCAAGTACCATTGCTATGATAATAAACAAAGTCTCGATTGTCAGTTCCTACACCGAGTGACGGCCATTTTGTTAACCGATTACAAGGCGCGGATGGTCGAATCCATTCAATTTTAAAGCCATTCGATTTTCTAGAGAGATGAAAAATTGGGATGTCAATGGTGATTTATGGATCATGTCTGGACATGGATATAACTTTACATTTCATCATCTAAAAGACAACAACCAACAAACAGTAAAATCTACAAGTTTTACACGCACGGAATGATAAATGAATGTTATTTTGTGGGGTGGTGGGCCACTGGGGCCTCCACCTGGATCCGCAATTGTCTTTAGGGTCACAGATTCGGAAACCAAAGATTCGCTGGTATAAAGAATCATTAACTCTTTTTATTTTTACTGTTAAATTGTTTTGTTTTTGTTTTTTTCTTTTTTTTGGGGGGGGGGGGGGAAGGGGTGTAAATTACCTTATCTAAATATAATTAAACAAAAATGATAGATCGCTGTGGTGATACAATCCTTCAACATACACGTTCACAGGCATTGAACATTTCTGATAAATACAATTTAAAACTCGACCGTTGTCTGCTATAACCTTTAATATCAAACGAAATGAAATGAAATGGGGTTTAATGTCCTACTGTTCTGCTCCGAACTGGACTAATGAAGACGGACATACGCCATACAGTGTGTTATGAGGGAAATTTTGCCCGGACAGCGGCACTACGGCCTACTCTTATATCTGATTCCAACTGTCAAGGGATCTTTTACGTGCACGCCAATATTTACACGGGACCTCGGTTTTTCGTCCCATCCAAACGACTAGACAGCTGTCCTTGTCAGGCCACCCGTCCTGCATCACTGACAATGGGAGCAACAGCAAGGAATTTGGGTTACGATATGCTATAACACAAATAAAAACAAAATTTGTTTCAATCTGTTAAAAACTATAAATTGGTCTGTGTACATAGGCGTATCAATTCAAGTATATAGTGAGGACTGAATCGGCACTATTTTCACATTAAGTGCAACGGGGGGTGGGGGGGGACTAATTTGTTTTCCCATTTACGATATGTGTCTGTTTCAAATATACTGGACTTATTGTTTAAATAATTTCAAAAATAGTTTCAGAACTCTATCGGCAGAGAATAAAATGTTAATAATGATGCCTCATTAACTGAATTCTTTGCTCTGAATATCCATTCGTTTACAGACGATATTCAACTTAATATTGCATTTGACGCAGGTTCTCAACATTCCATGATACAAAATATAGAACTTTGTTTCACATAACTGCTCACTTGGATGACAGAATATTTCTTAAAATTAAATCCAAATAAAACCGAACTGGTAGTAATTGGAAACAAACAACAATTCCGTAAATTGATAGATACAAAAATAATTTCAGGAATCAATAAAGCTTTAAACATACATTATGCAAGAGCTAAATCTGCCTATTTCAGCTTTCTTTAGGCCTGAATTGTTATCTAAATTATTAATTAGACATTAATTTACTTATTCAGACCATAATCAGCTCTCGACGTCATCGTTAGTCTGCGATATTTACTGGATTATGATCCGATTTGGCGCTCAACTTTCATTCATAATTTAATCATGAAATGGATAATCGAGACTATGTTTTTTTTTTATCGTACCGACTTTAGTAATGATGATCAAGGCTAGGCCAAAATTTCAATCGCTTAATTCTCGGTTCATAGTGGATCAATTTCACTGAAATTTTCTGTAAATTGCCTTTAAATTATCTAGTTTTTAATTATAATATAGAGAACAGCCAGCTCGTTATCTAATCTCCCATAATGTATCTTTAAATAGTGGTGTTATATTAGACTCGAATCGATTTGATCCACTTCCTTCTATCACGTAGATCGAATTTGAAAGATCCAACGTTATCTCAATCATGAAAAACTCATTAACGCATTCATCTCAACTAAACTAGACTACCACAATGGTTTACTATGGCTTATCAGACTATCATATTAAAAAAAACCTACAACATGTCCAAAATTCAGCAGTTCGACTTCTCACTAAAACTAGAAAACAGCAACCCATTTCCCCTACACTGACTCCAAATTCACCAAAGAATTAAGTTTAAGTTATCCCTCATTGTCTTCAAGGCGTTAAAAGGCCAAGCTCCATCTATAAGAAGTCTTATAGAACCCTTTACTACCAGCAGAAATCTCCGTTCTCAAAACAAACAATTTCTAAAATCTCCAACTATTAACAAATTGAAAAACGTGCCTCTACCTATGCTGGGCCTTTTCTATGAAATAAACTACCAAAGTCAATGAAACAATTAACGTCTGTGGGCGGTTTTAAATCTAAACTCAAAACATTCTTGTTTCAATACCCTGATCTGGAAATAATCAGTGAATATAACAACCGACAGCGCCTTGGAATCTATTCCTCAGTATTAACCCGCTTAATAAATGACAATATAATCATTATTAATATTTACCACGTCGATATTTATCACGTATTATCAGTATTTATATTTACAATGAAAAATAAAAACACATTACCTTGTAATGGGTGAGCTCTCCTATAAAAACGAGAACTAACTTTGATGGCATAAAAATTTCCGGGCGTAGGAATAACTGGTTCTATGCACATATCGCTAGGAACCATCCCTTCACCCCCAGTCCACAACAACAAAACCGTGACCAGCACTTCAAGAATCCCCATGACGATAGTATCCGAACAGCAGAAAACGAAGGAATTAAACCCGAGTTTTGGATTGCGCAGTTATAAAGAAGAACGTGAAGACGGATTGGATGATGTCGTCCGGTCGGCGCAGTCGTCACTAAATATTTATTTATAAGTTGACAAGCGGACGAGCCATTAGTGTATCCGAGTAATTCATCTTTTTCAGAATTTGGCTGACATGTTTTGTGGTACACGTCACCCTGTTGTAGTGTTTAAAGGCTCAATACCACTCTTGTTGTAACTGAATAATATGTCCCAATCTTTATTCTGGTCAACAAATTGTACTATTTTACAATATTCCAATTAATTGATGATACAAATTTCATCTTAACACACCTAATTTAAAAAAATTGAAAAATTCAATTAAATGATTTGAATAGCCTGGCGTAAAGCTTTTCAAATGTGATTTTGATTTAAAAATATTTTTGAACCCTTTGGACAAGTAAAATAGGATTTAATGGATAATTTACACAACAGTTAGGACACTAACACATCTAGTACTTAGAATAAGGCTATTTTTAATTTTCTGGAGCTGTCAAGCCAGCAAGAGTGTTATTGTCCCTTTTACAAATCTTGGTTTTATCAGGACTTGGGTATCTAAGCTAATAATTACTGGCATATTAAATGTTATAAATGGGGTTTAACGTCCTACTTTTCTGCTCCGAACTGGGCTAACTAAGACGGGCATACGCCATACAGTGTGTCATGAGGGAAATTTTTGCCCGGACAGCGGCACTACGGCCTACTCTTATATCGAATTCAAACTGTCAAAGGATCTTTTACGTGCACGCCAATGTGTATACGGGACCTCGGATTTTCGTCCCATCTGAACGACTAGACAGCTGTCATTGTCAGGCCCTCCGTCCTGCATCACTGACAAGGGGGTACCACGCCGGAAAATCTGGATGAACTTTCTCGGCCAATGCAGTAATCGAACACCGAGGTTGGACATGGCCCAATATAAACAGGTACAACCCTATGAAGGATCATACTGAATTGGATCCAAATATGTTAATAATTGTAACCTGTTGATTATTTACAGTAAAAACATTAACAAAAAATAGGTATAGCACCACCCAAGAGAGGGGGGGGGGGTCATGTGTCAAAATAAATAGTTGCCGTCCTTAGGGTACAAGGAATAAGTATACCAAATTCCAAGATGATCCATTCAGGAGTGTAGCCTTCAGACGATAAACACAAAATATGGGCGTCGCTCTGCCCCTGGGGTCGAGACATGCACCAAAATCAATAGTTGCCGCCCTTAGGCTATAAGGAATACATATGCCAAGTTTGAAGATAATTCATTCAGAATTGCGGCCAGAATACGATAAACACAAAAATGGGTCCGTCCTTAGGCTATAAGGAATAGTTCGATCAAGTTCCAGTGTGATCTATTGAAAACTGTGACCTATAGACAACACACAGACACACAAAGAAAAATGGGTGTGGTTCAGCCCCTGAGGGTCGGGTATTCACCCAAAACAACAGGGGTCATCCTTAGGGTATAAAGAATTGGTATGCAGAGTTTCAAAATGATCTGTAAGGAATTGCGGCCTGTAGGCGACACAAAGACACACAAAGAGAAAATGGGCGTGGCTCTGCGCCTGGGAGTTGGGCATTCACCAACACTAACAGGGGTGTTTCTTTGGGTATAAGGAATAAGTATGCAAAATTTCCAGATGATGCGTTAAGAAATGCGTCCTGTAGATGGCAAACAAACAAATACAAAAAATATTGTCCATATACAACGAGGGTTGGATTAAGACACATACAAGCCCTAAGTACTTAATCTGTTATGAATAAGAGAGATAGTGAAGTTATATTCGAAGGGAAATGGTTGTTGTTACAAGTCTTAATGTTATGTTTCTATTGTTACGTGCATTCCAATGTATACACGGGACTTCGGTTTTTCGTCTCATCCAAAGGACTAGACAGCTGTCCTTGTCAGGCCCGATACAACCTATAACCTCGGTGGAAGCGGACGTAAAATACAACTAACTCAAACACTCATTATTGATCATTGCTTGATAAAGATACCTGTAAGAGTATTGAAACGTTGTGTTATTATTAATAATTAAAAGTTCTTAATTAATTTTTAAATTTGTCGTTAAACAAAGCAGAAACTCTGTGGAGCCCTGAGCACCTGCTTATTTTGTTTAATGGTTAACCTAGCACTGTATACAACAATATGTATACTGCACTAAATAGCCTGAACTATTTAACCTAAAATATATCATTTTATTCCGAGCTGCCTTTACGAAATTAGTAATAGCAAGGTGTATCACTCTATACGTCTTCAATATTCAATTCAAAATACTGAGCCGTTCACAAAAGATCGCTAGTTTTGCTTCAATATCTCTTTTCGTCCTTTGCATTTTTCGGAAAGATATCAAATTTTGCACGGCTTAATCCACACTAAGAACGTACTCAAATTGATTGTTTAACATTTAATTCAGAAAAAAAACTATCAAGTGTAGACAATCTCCCGTTTTGGATTTAATCGGATTAAAAGACTTTCAGACATACTCCTCGCAGTGTTTCGTTTGAGTAGAGCTAATCCGACTTAACACTGCTGTAATGGAGGCAAATTTCTGTTCCAAATTATAGTCCGGTTAACAACAAATAGCTAACTTCGTAACAATATTATTACGCTTTAAACAGAGCTCTAAATTGGGCCAAATATGTTTACATAATAGCAAAATATTGCAGAAAAACTAATTGCACGACAAACGAGGCTATCAAAACAGATACAATGTAAACAATACTGTTTAGAGACGAAGAATACTTTCATCGTTTTTAATACTTAAATCACTGTCCAAAGTTTTAGGGAAGACCTCATATTAAACGAAGGGTTGTCATGTTGCTGTACTTGGGATAGATTTAATTGAACGGGAAGAATGGACACACTCTCTCAAAAGCTCAAGTATCAAAAGCTAATCCAGCAATGGACAGATAGGAATTTCTCGGGCCATTGCTTCAGGAATATGACTTTCACTTGGTGCTGGTGATTGACCTTATCCCGGGTTATATCGTTTTCAGGAAATGAAGAGAGTTGATATTTTCGTTTGGTCGTTAGTAGCGGTCGAAGATACTTATCAACTAGGATTGGGAGGAAGGAAGGAATACGAGGACGAAGAAAGAAACAATGTAACTGACTAATAAACATCATGTATTATAATATGACGACTTAGATCTGTTTGTTTCATATGTTTTCATCTGTGAAAGTTATTTGTTTCTAAGTCAATTTCAGAGTGATTTCTTGTTTTCCTGTATACCAAATTACACGAGACAGGAATATAATAAATCATCTAGACTGGATTATGTATTATAATATGACGACTTATATCTGTTTGTGTCATATGTTTTCATTTGTGAAGGTTATTTGTTCATAAGTCAATTTCAGGGTGATTTCTTGTTTTCCTGTATACCAAATTACACGAGACATGAATATAATAAATCATCTAGACTGGATTAGCCGGCGACTTAACGGTATTTAACATAAATTATTAGATTGTTGAACGAGGAAATAATGTATGATTGTATTATAGCAGTCTTGTAAAACAAGATGGTTACAGACACGTTGCATTGTTAACACTGCTTTGTGTTTTGTTACAGAGATCGAGAGAGCTATTTAAAAAGTGGTATTTTCTTATAAAACAGTTGCGCCTAGTCATGAATTTACGATAGAACAAAAAGGTATAAACTGTGGTAGGCTTGTAGCTTTTACTATTCTACCCGTCGTCTAATACCCCTATCGATGCTTTGGTCAGATTTTCGCTAGTTAGTTATTATGCCCTTTTTTGGTGGTGTGTCCAGTGATAGTGGGCTGTTTTTAACCTTCTTCATTAGGTCATCCACTCTGGAAAAGTCAATATAAATCTGACCCAAAAAAGATAATGTCTATACGATGATTGTGATGTTTATGTTAGCTCACAATGGTGTCACCAAGAGTTCTCGACAAATGGTCTAAAGATTGTCTATCACACAATAATGGGAACACTTGTTAACACCATTTTAATATAATACTAATCCATCTATGTCCACCTTATTTACCAAATAACTAAACTATCACGGTGTTACAAGATTGTCTAAACGACACCATAATGTAACAGTTGGAACGCATAAACCTAGTCATTTAATCCCATGGTATGGGTCAAATTGCAATTTCGGGATTATTTCGGATACCAATGATATATTAATTTTATTAATTAAAGGGACAATAACATTCTTGCTGGCTTGACAGCTCCAGAAAATTCAAAAAAATAGCCTTATTCTAAGTACTAGATGTGTTAGTGTCTTACCTGTTGTGTAAATTATCCATTAAATCCTATTTTACTTGTCCAGAGGGTTCAAAAATATCTTTAAATCCAAGTCACATTTGAAAAGCTTTACGTCAGGCTTTTCAAATCATTTAGTTGAATTTTTCCATTTTTTTAAAATTAGGTGTGTTAAGATGAAATTTGTATCATCAATTAATTGGAATATTGTAAAATAGTACAATTTGTTGACCAGAATAAAGATTGAGACATATTATTAAGTTACAGCAAGAGTGGTATTGAGCCTTTAACTGCAAATCAGATAGAATTTTGTGGGGGTTAATTGTTATGGAAGCCTATAACTACCATTCATAATTTCTACTTTTCGCCTCTTCAGAACACGAAAGTCGAAAAGTAGAAGTTACGACAAAATGTGAGGCGACAAGACGGTATACAAGCCCAAATCAACTCGAAAATAGGAAATTAAGAAATAACACACCGCGATAATAGCGCCCCCCGTTTTTTCTTAATTTCTACTTTTCGACTTGCATTTTGGCTTGTATACCGTCTTGTCGCCTCACATTTTGTCTTAACTTCTACTTTTCGACTTTCGTGTTCTGAAGAGGCGAAAAGTAGAAATAATGAATGGTAGTTATAGGCTTCCATAAATTGTACTATAATACTTAGGATTGGACACTTAGCTAATGTTTCAGGTTACAAGTTAGTCTATGACTTAAATACACCTTTAATACAATCGCCTTCGACCACAGAAATGGTACAGTCTAGTCAACTATTAGTA